TGACTGTATGCGCAACATTCCAGTGTTTCCCCTAGGTTTACTGCTTTGGGGGGGTGCTGCCTGAGCGGGGGGGGGGGGGGGGTGGGTGTGGTGGCATTGGGATATATATTTTTTTAAATCCTCTGGAGTAGAGAGAGGAGCTGTGGATTATTGTTATTGATTAATGCATCAGTGTTTCTTAGGGTCAAAAACACTAAACTCACAATTTAAAATGAAAGCGTTTAGTTTATTTAATAAAAGAGCACATGTTCAATGTGAAAAGTGACAGTAGATATAGATTAGTTGCAATTTGGTGCTATATATATATATCTTTTTTTTTTTTAAATATAAAAAGAAAAGAAAATTATAATTATTTTATTTTTTAAACACCTTGAATTTCAGGGGGGGCGCGGGGCTCCGTTGGCGGGGCTCCGTTGGCGGGGCGCAGTGCCCCTCCAAGACAATGGTAGGGGAAACACTGCATTCCCTACATGTATATCTCCATATCTCAATGGCCATTACAAAAGTACAGTAAACATTCACATCTCAATAACTATAAAAGTGAGCAAAAAGACCATTGTAGCCCCGATGAGGTAAACTTGATATGGAAACATTGGAAGGATGTGTGAGTAGAAGCAATCACTTGTCACTTGTTTCAGATGGTAGATATCTCATGTTTTTATTCAATTTCTCCATTACTTTAATAGTTATTAAGAAACTATTATTAGCATATTTAGGAAAATAGCATGTGAGCCATCATTACAGACCAGCATTAACCAGGTCAAGTAAGCGTGTGAAATGAGCGACCACTATGTCTCTCATGTATTAGTCCATTTAACTGGGGGAGCTGTGCTTCCTGTGGCAGTGACCTTCTCCCTGTGGCTGCTGGGAATTACAGTCATTCAGTGTGTGTCTCGGCATGATGGATGACACCTGCACCCGTTAAGCAATCTTTCCCTGGCGCACTATTGTTTTTCTTTCTCACTTTTGCGTGGGAGCAAACTGTGTGCATTCCCGAGCCAAAAACAACTGAGATAATTATCTCATCTGCGTGATGTATGATCTCTCTCCTTAGAAGACAAGTTATCTTACGACCTGGAATGTCTTTCCAATACGGTGGTGACGCTACCAGTGAGGCTACTGCAGCTGGATTAGGGGTGATGCAGCATTTTTTAACACCCAGACCCATTGTTTCTGCTCTTTAAAAGCTGCAAATGACGTCAGCTCTGTGCAGTATTGAAACCAGGCGTTGAATCAAAACTACAAGTTGTCAAGGTATACGATCTAATTGTATCCATGCAGCTCTTTTGTTTCCACTGCACAACTGCACACTGTGTATTGGCACAGTCTTGTAGTGTGTATATCGTCTTAATAGCTGTGCTCCAGACACTCCTTTGTCATTAGCAAACCAAACTGAGCGTTTACTTGCGTCTGCAAGGCCGCTGGACGACAAGGCCTGTCACTACCATTGTGGTTCAGATACAAAAGAACCTTCAAATAATGGAATCTCCCAACATGTCTCACACTGATGCAAAGCCACCATCAACCAGATGGCAGGTCATTGTAAAATAGAGTGTTGTACTGATGACATATATTCGTAGGCTGACCCAGAAGTTAGCTTCACGATGGCTCCCTTTTACAAAAAGCTATTGGATTTTGAAAAAAGATCTGTGGCAAACAACTATTTGTGATACTGACACGTTTTGTTCAGCAGGATAATTTACACCACTTTTGTAATATTTAAATCGTAAATGCAATCTCCAGAATTAAGAAGCACATTTGAAACAAACTACATTACATAACTTGACGTCACCACCACTGAGCCAAAGGCAGACTGGAATATGGCATGGTGACATTTAGTTGTCCTATTTAGTCACTTTTGACCAACCACCGTTTTTAAGACGCATAGAAGCTTCAGACATTCATGAGTGGGTAATTAACTTATATCGTAGACAAAAAGTGAACGGAAATGTTAAGCTTAACCACAGATCTTATTTTAGATATCCAAAAACTAATTCAAAGGGAACCTAAAAGGGCTATAATGCTAACAATTTTCCGGGTTAAGGACTCATTCCTGCACCACTCTATTACGCCCCTCCCCACAGATAAGAGAGTTTGGTGCCATCAGGAGAAGCTGAAGCCAGAGAAGGGGTGGCTAAGTGGTGTTACTCAGTAGCATCTTCTCCTTGGTTTGCCCGCACCATGCTCACTGAGTGTGCATCAGAGGCAGTACGGGGGTGTGAAGTGCTCCCGAGAGTGTGTGGGTTCACTGCTGCTGCACTCTATGATTAAACAGTAGTATGTGCTGACAGCTGGATTTGAGGAGCATGATGCACGCGGCACAGTGGAGCGAGAAGCTGCCTCTCGTGGTGTCGAGGAATTTCCTTTTCGGTGTCTTTAGACCTAAATGCAGATCACAAGAGCTGAATCAAACAAATGACAAGAATACTTTTTGTACCCTGTGCTACAGAACGAGGAGGAAACAAATCCCTAAGAGATCAGTGATTAATTGCTTAACTAATATTAGCCTCAATAGATCACAAAGGTTTTTGTGGATCTGTCAACAGTTATAACTTTAACGCCCTCTTTTGTTGCTTCGATTTAGTTTGAATGACACAGGTATTTGTTCTTTTCCTGACTGTAAATAAAACTCGTCACCTTTACATACCGGAGGACCTTTGTGGCTGGAGGTTGTCAATGGGCTTCTGGGACATGAAGGAAATCACTAAGTGAAGACAATGTACAGATATACTACAAAAATAGTACTTATTTGATGCTAGAATACATCTGCTACTATTAGTTATTGACCAGGAAGTGTACTAAATACCAGTATTCATTTGTTACAACATTTCTGTGAGTCAGTATCTTGTCCTGCAGCGAAGGCCAAGATTGTTAGACGCAAGCCAATTGAAATGGGGTGAAACAACATCTGTAGTGTACATGCCATACAAAGGTCAATACCAAATATGGACGCACACTTTCTCTTTTAGTTGTTCTACAAACACATACAGCTTGTCAGCTCATCTGCCATCAGCTGTTCTTATGTCTTGTCTGTAGGGCCGTTAGACAGATGCTAAGTAAACACAGCCTAGTTTTGCATTCATGCTTGTCATCACTTAATCCTCCTGCAACTGCCATCTTGGAGATGCCACATGCATTGCTAACTGACATTAACCTCTCATCTAAAGACGCTGATTCATAGTGCACTTAGACAGCCTGAGAAGTGAACAACACGCTGAACTAATCACTGTATCTGACTGGCGCAGTGGGGCAGGCCTGTTAATTAGTAAAGAGTGTTAACTACTGTTACCTTTCCAAGTTAATGAAGCATTTGCTAACCTGTATCCTTTAGAGTTTCTGTAATCCGAGGTTTACGACGAGGCCCGAGATCTAGTGTGAATCATTTTAAGTGAAGTATCCAGATGTGCACATGTCCAGATGTGGTCACTTGCAGCCAGGAACAAGTTACTATTAGCTGTGAACCTCTATGATTACTAATGAAAATAATTGTCTTTATAGCTTATTGATAATGGAAATGCAGATGCCGTTTTTCTACCATTACACTGTAGGATGAGTCTTTACCTCACTTCTGCTAATCAAAACATACTTTACTCATTAACATAAAATGCGTTTAGCTTCATTTCAACAAATTAATAATGGAAAGCTTGTATTCACATGTTAACACAGAAGAACTGAGATTAAAGATGGAGGACCAAGTCATGAATTTATCAAAATGTAACTTTTCATCATCAAAGTGAGTTCAAACTGGAAAAGCTTCTTGGCTAAATCAGCCTTTACAATCAGTTACAAAAACACTGTTCAGGTCTGTAAACACACTGTGCTACCTTTTGTAGCCCTTTTGTACTTTTACCCTAGTAAATATCCAATACCAGGGAGTCTATGGGAACTAAGTATAGGACATGTGACACAATGACCTGGTTTATAAAGTTTACAGAAGCATTTTGTAGATCTAGAGAATTTTGGACGCCGTTTTTCTTTTGTCTTCTCTTTGCTTTTGCTTCTCACTTAGCAGCCAAGTGTTCTGTTTGTTTGAGATTGCAGCAGCTCCCCCTGACTTTACCCTACCACTTTACTCTTCCACCTCCACCTCCATCACCTGTTGGAGCATGTTCGGTCACTTCCCACATCTTAGTGTTTGCACAGGCTGATCGAGCAGGTTTGGTTTCCTTGTGTAATCCGATTACCTGCTGAAAGATTTGATGCGCCTCATGTTCACTGCAGGCCTGCTAATAGCAAGGAGACTGATGTGTCCAAAGCTGTCCTGTATTTACCTTTTCAGTGCAGTATCATTAACAGCCACAGTCGAGTCTACTGATCCGTGAACGAGTGGATGTAGTTTGACTCTTGCCTGCCGGTAGCTTGGTTCAGTAGTTCTTCCCATACGTACATTAAGATGCAACTGTAGACAAAGTAATTTTTTTCTGTGGTATTTTACTTGATAATTACTTCCCTGGAAAAACCCCAGAAGACACACACTCTTTTTATAGACAATATGTTTAATTGAGCAAATTAGAAAGGGTCCTTATTGTACAGCAGCTGTGTACACACACAGTGGAATCTGCACGGCACCAGGAAAGGGATGCAGTGAGAATAGTGAGTTAAAAAAAACAACTTGATGGAGTCAGAAAGCCTGCGTGCCAAAGCAGTGGCTTTTCAACACAGATGCTCATAGTTAGCATGTGTGTGAAACCTCAGAGTCGCTCGCTGATCAACCCGCTGCATTGATACTCCAGCTGCTGGCACTGCGCTGATGTTACTGGGTTTGCATGGGTGATATGGTTGGTGCTTTCAGACCAGGGACTGTAGTCACTCATAGGAATTGTTTCCCTCAATTGTATAACTAGATACAATCGCTCATTTAGTAATACATAAAATACTGTATCATGTACTCATGATGGACAAAAAACATCCCATAAAATAGTCCTGAAATCTGAGACATACAAGCATTCAACTTTAATGTCCATAGTTATTAATGACATATCCTGACTTCTTCCTTGCAGGTCTGGTGGAGATCTGCTTGATGCATCCACTCGATGTAGTGAAGACAAGGTAAGCCACCCTCAAACTGAACAACTCATATTTCGTGTAATTTTACCGAACGTATAATCTGCTTACAAGAGAGACATTTTTAGTCCACATCTGCCTTGAATTCTCTCAGTGGGTATTTGGGTCTACATAGTGAAGTTCCAAGCATACCACCTTATTTTTTTCCCCCAAGCTGGCCAGCTGTACTCTCATTCTCCCAACAATTGGGCACCAATGCCAAGAAACATTTTGTGGAAAATGAGATGCATCATTTACCCATTCGTTCCCCACAAAATGTTAACGTTAGATGTTTGCAAATCACTCACATTTACACATATACACCTAATTACTTAATTTAAAAATAGCAATATTTTTGGTACGACCTGATGTTCTTGTGAAATCTGACTTTCAGGTTAAATCAGATGCACTCGCTGAGTCTAATGGATTGATTTCAGCTTCCGTCTCCTGTTTGTGCGTTATGCAAGAGTGGCAGCAGTGTGGAGCTGTTGAGTGATCAGGAGCCTCACACCACAGTGTCTCAGCCGGCCATAAACAGGTCGTGGGCTTCTACTAAAGCTTTATAGTCTTTCACAGGCCCAGCCAAGACCTCTGGCTTCGTTCTTAGCCCCCCTCCCCAGCCCTATTCACTACTTGTCAGTAAATTGTGCTGCTTTTTCTGTCATTTACGGCAGCAGTTTCTTGGTAAATAAATTGCTTGGCCTGCCTTTTAAAAAAGTGAGACGGTTGCACTTTGAAGGCAGTGCCACCCCCAGAACAGAGAGAAGGAAATGCAGGGATAAAAGCCCGGGCTGAGCGGTGTTGTATTAGTCGATATTTGATACTTTGAAGGCACACAGTGTGATTTATGGTCACGTGTAGCAGCTATGGGGGTTTATTACAGGTAAGGCTGGAGCTCTGCCTGTCCGTCCTCACACGGGGTCAGGGTTAAAAGTGCACTCTCTATTTTCTTTGTAATGCTCTTCCTTAAAAAGCGGTAAAGGCTGCTCTTAAACTGGACAGGTTTATCTGTTTGTTTTCTGTTTGTGTCGCCATGTGTTTATGTTGATGGGTTTTCTGTTGCTCAGAATGGGTCTGTGTAAATTAAATCCTTTTGCTCTCGGCTCTGGGTTTTGTTACTTTCTTCTTTTAACAAAATGAACAAACGGAATAGTCTTTCTTCTTTTTAATTGGGAGCTTTATATGATGTCAAGAGTGTCTAAACAAAAGGAGGTTGCTGAATCCCAGACATACACAGAGACAAACCACACAAGTGTAGATATGCATGCTTGCACTGTACATGCATGTTCACACGCTTAACATCCACACATGATTTCATAAACCAAGCATACATACCAGCTAATTGGGACACTGAGGGAGCTGAAATCTATTAGCAGGAACCTTGGAGCCGAGAGTCAGACGCAGACACACCTCCACTGGCTCTCTCTCGCTCAGGCATGGCTCTTATTAGGCACCGGCTCCTGCTTTAATGTCCACCGGTCCAAATTGAATGGCAACTGGAGTAAATTTACTTTTTTCCACCAACTTAGAATCAAAGGGATTTTTTTCCCCCCTTTCTTTTCTTCCTTCTTTTCCCTTTTTTTTTTGCAAGGTAAACTTCACTAAATGTGTACCTGCCTGCAGCTCATGTTTACCTATTTTCCAAATGAGGCTTTATCTTTCTCTGAAGGGGAGGGAGGAGGGGGCGGAGGGGGTAGAAAGTTGCAGATTAAGGAATCGTTGCAACAGTTTAGAGGTATTCCACCAGTAGCCAAGTTATGAATAAAAAAAAATGTCAGGAGCATTTGGCAGCTTTTCCATTTAAACAAATACTGATTCACCCTCCAAGTGACTGCATTGGCAGATATATTAATAGCTGGGTTCCACAGAATTTAACTTCCAACATGATTAATAGAACAAAACTTGGGCTAAAGACTGATGGGCAAATTGCTTTTGGGTAACGATCACAAGTATTTTACTAGACCACACTGGGCCTTGGGTTGGATATGAGACGTAAAAGTCTTGTCAGATTAATCATTTTTGGCCTTTGTTGTTGCACTTTTACTCCCCGTTGTGTGCTCACTGACCAGTGGAGCTGTGACCCTTGTTATTCACCTTTGCTAACAAGTACATCTATCTTACATCTGAGGGACTCCTGCAGAGCCCACCTTCCTTCAGCGTGACTGTCTACTTCTTTCATCCTGTTAAAAGAGTGGAACAAGTACAAATTTAAATTGACCATTTTTAAATAAGTGTAATGGTGTAATTTCTCGCTTAAGACTTTTTTTCACTGGATAAATCACTATTAATAGGATCAGTTGTAATGTGAATAGATTATTCACTTTTTTATCAGAGTACCCTAGCACTAGTAGGACTACAACTAATGATTATTTTCTTTTATGAATTGTTTGCGAGTTACATTTTCAGGAAATGGTAAAATATGCCCATCTCAAGGGCTTTTTTTGTCTAAATTAAAAATCCAAAACCCAAAGATATTCCATTTTACAATGATATAAAACAAAAAGGAGAATTTTATATTTGATATATTATGTATTTTCTTCAGTTTTTGAGCAAACAAACCGACCAAAGTGAGATCCAGGACAAGCACGTAGGGTAGGATGAAGGCAAAATAGCGAAGTAGTTTGGGGTATAAACATGGTATGTGGGAGAGTTGTGCGCCATCATTAGTTTTTATGTACTATTTAAAGTTTAGGACAACAGATTTAACAGCAGATGTAACTTTAAAGCAACTGTTCCGTGTCACGTTCTCTGTCGTTAATCCAGGAAATTAAAGTTAATCCACAAATTGAAACATTTTTCTCGTGAGTCACTGCTGATAATAATCAGGCCGAAATGTAAATGTAGCATACTTCACACAAAGTAAACCGTTAATTGCCCCTGACCCTGACCCTCCCCTCCCTCCCCCATGAGTCGGGGCAGGAATGTGGGGCTGAGGATGGAGGGTGCGATGCGGTGTGGGGAGGGAGGGAGGGACGGCGGTCGTTGGTTTAGCAGAGAGAGACAGTGGGACCGGAGTTACAGCTTTTCATTAACCTGGAAACCACCTAGTTACATGGTTCATGGGCTGGTCTCAGCTCACTTGGAGGTAACAAAGGGTGTCGGGCGGCACTTTCTGCAGGGGGCCGTGCGCTCGGGGCACCCCATCTGACTCTGATCAGGTTCTCCCTCTCATTAGAGAGCTGCACTGAGCCTGCATTTCCCTTCATGTCGAGATCCTGTTACATGGAGCTCCACCCTTATACACATGCACGCGCAGACACACTCGCGCTCATCTTAGAGCAGCTTCACATCAGCCCTTTGACTTCCGCTCAACGAGTAAAACCACGCCTTCCTCGTGTTTGTGTCTCCCTGAGCGACTTCTCCTGTCATCATGAACTCCCTGCAGCTTCTTCGCAGTGCACATGATCTCGTGTTTTCCCCAAAAATTGATTTTGTGCAGAAACTCTGGACTGAGCCACTCCTTCTCTGCACACACACACTTTCTTTCTTTTTCACGCTTCCCCATTCAGGTTCCTCCTTTTCACTCGCCCCTCGTCTTTCCACTCTCTCTCTCTCTCTCAGATATCCACTTTTCCCAGACGCTTATTGTTTCACTCCCCCCATTGAACATTAACTGTTTATGCTGTTTAAAATACAGGTTTGAGCTTTTCAGCAACCATCTCAATTTGGCTGATGTCAAGTCGGATAATAGTTTAGCTAATAAAAAACATATTATATAACAAAGTCATCAACATCATGTTGAGTGCATTGTTTAAACTTCCCTCTTTCCTTCTGAAGTTGTAGTTTGATTGGTTGTGTAATGGTTTGTTTTAAATCCCTGTTCATGTTTTTTAGATTTGTATTGAATTATACAATTCTGTGAATTGTCATGTATGACATGTCGGTCAGAGTCACTGCAAACCACTAAGCCTGCCACTAGCCTGGTACAAGCCTGATTAGAAAAACCTGGTACTGGCGCTTGCTCACGCAGTATCCATGGCAACACTACCTCCATTTGGTCCCAGCACGCATGAAAGTGTGGTTCACTTGGGGGGCTTGAAAGTGATCTTTGATGAGGGCTTTGACAGATGACGTCCAGTCTTTTTGGGGAACGTGTGACAGCACTGAGGATGCCCCAAAGGCCCCCCTCCCTCCAACCTCCCACCTCTGTTTGCCCCCAGCTGCTTGGTGAACCCCAGTGCACTTATGGAGGAATCCCTGACACAACCCTCAAACAGCAGGGCACAAAGCAGCAGCAGCCTGATAGCTGATCTTGCCTTGTAAAGGAGCAGGCGGGTCAGCGGTCGTCAAGCCGGGTCCTAATTCCTCCGGCGCTGTGAGGCTGCAGGCCAGGACTTTACTCACTGTGTAAAGCCAAAAACACAAGAGGCGTGTGTGCAGGATGAACCCAGCTCAGCCTGAGCATCGCTTCAGTGCAAGAGCATGAGCGTGTCTGGTGCCAAAGGTAGAGAGCATGTCATGAGTGCAGCAGAGCAGCATATTTGGCAGGATGAAAAAGCATGCCTTGGCATTCCAGTCATACTCTTCTGTCACTCTTCTTCTCACCCAAGTTATTTGTCAAATAAATATAAAATGTAAAAGTGGTGATATGCAAGATGAAACCGATAGATAAATAGACTTGTCTACCTGCCCAAGAGTCCAGTATGCCTACTTCAATTCATATTGATTGATTCTTCACATAGTGATTTAGGCTGCAATTCAGGAAGCATTGTGCCCTCTGTGCAGCTAGACACAGTGTAATGGTGTGTGTGAATTAAGTACGTCTTACAATCGTGCTGAAATCTATATCCTATCACACTCTTGCAATTTAATCGTCCTTTTTTTGTTTACTTTGGCAATTTATATTTCTTGAATTAAGTGAATTTTGGGAACTAAATGTCGGGGCGCCCCGGTGGTCCCCTTACTATATGATGCAATGACTATATTGTAATTTCTGTTCAACTTTTAATGTCAACTATATAATGATAGCATTATGAATAAACCTTTAAAACATGACCCATTACTTT